TGAGGAGGGCGGTAAGACACATGACATACTGTAACCTTGAGGCCGTGTGATCTGAATAAGGTAACAAGTGATGGCAACCCCAAACAATCTTGGGACCTTGTGAAATTTGGGAAACTTCTTTCGTTTCATCTGTAAACGTATCTTCAAGCAAACAATGAAAGAGAAAGTGGAAACAAAGACAATCCCAAAGTCTCTGTAACACAACAAAAATACACAAAATAGCATATTCACGGTCGATCTGGCGAGACAAAAGATGTCAAAACAATAATTGGACCTGATGGACTAAAAGTAGTTTGGTGCTATAAATGTCACAGATTGGGATATCTATGATCTGTGATATCTCTGAACTTCTGACAACTGTTCTTAAACTAGTGTTCTCTGTCTTTTTGTCTCAACTAAATATCTTTAAGATTACTGTTTACAACCAACTAAAATCACTTTTTTATACAAAGTAACATGTGTCAGATTAAGATCAAGGGAAAATTATTCTATAGAGCTATTTAAACAGGGTTTGTACCAATTTGCTTCACAGCAAACATGAACAAACTTTTCAGAAGAATGAAAGAACATATTTGAAAAATAATTAAATGATTAACACAACACATGAAATGAGGAAGAACAGTGTGCATGCAAATAAAGACTTCCATTATACACAAAGTAAATCTGTAAGGTAACAGCTGCAGTTGATGGCAAAGGAATTTAAGTGAGCCTCGAGGCATTTCTAAAGCATTTAAGAGCTCCTGCTTTCCAAAAATACAATAGTAGGCTATACTGGTGTGTTATTTGCTACACGGAGAAGGCCCTGTATCCATGGAAGGCTGATGCAGGGATGCTATTATTATGTGTGTGATATGTTTCCATTATTGCATTTTGATAGCATCTTCGGCATTCTGGACAAGCTGTGATGATGTAGGAAGGCTTGGTGGATACCAAAATATAGAGTTACAGTAATCAAGTCTCTAGAGAGTGTTATTAAAAACGAAGAAGGCTTGACACAAGGACATGACATTGGACAACATATTTTTTTATCAGATAACACAATGAGGGTGAGAAACCGTCAAACCAGAAACTTCTCCCAAACTCTGCACATTTAAAAAAGGTCGATGCCTGGCCACACTCCAATCAGCTGGCTCTCATCCCGGAGCTGTTTGCAAAAAGGCAGACTGGCTCTAAAGTGCATGCGGAGATTGCTGCAATTCATCTGTCAGGAGGAGCAGTGCGGAACGGACCGAGTGAAGGAGAGGTGGTCTGAGAGGAAATTCAATTGCATCAGTTAACTCAGTATCCAGCACATAAATAAGCCTGAGTAAGGTGGTAAATAACGGAGTGACAGCTTCAGGCTGAATTATCACCTGCTAAGTCAAGGCTTGGGGTGCTGACAGGAGCAGTAGCTGCAGATACACACCTGCTTTGAACCAGGGCTCGACCTATATGGGATTTTTGGGGCCAATGCGATATCGATATTAGGAAGCGAGAAAATCCAATACCGAAGAATTTGCCGGTATATTTCTTAGATCTATGTCCGATCTTTAGAGATTGATCGATATAGATATATACATGTATTGCCTTTATCCCTGAAATGCAGTTATCAAACACTTAGATACAGTATATAAAGAAGATGGTTACGCAACTGGACAGTAATTGCGCATAAACGTGCATCACTGCTTGACACTCTGAATGATAATTGTTGTAATCCATATAGCACACTCTGCTGGTGAAACAGAACTGCTAGTGTTATCCAGCGACGCTCAAATGAAATGCTATTTGACTGGTGAATAAATCTAGTAATATCGGCACATATCTGTGATAAAATTAGACGATATCAACAATAGTAAACTGATATGCTATTATCGGCAGATATCATCGGCTGGCCGATTAATCTGTCGGACTCTAGTTTGAACCTAAACGTAGACACCATCATGCTCTTATGGTAAAATATCATGATAGTATATGCAAAGAGATCATATTCATTAAGAACAATGACCACTTCCACAGGACACCTGCGGTTACAAACAATGTACAACAAGTGCAATCATAATTTCAAATTCTTCTTTTTTTTGTTCACTGACGAGAAACCAATCTTGGAAGCTTTTATCTAACCAGAATATACTCATTAGAGAGTGACAGCTAACTTTTCCAGGCTTCTGGTGTAACTGTTAGCGTTAAAAGACATCCAGCCAAGACTTCTTTGTGCTTTGCCTTTGTTTACAGTCAGACTAAGAACTAGAGAAGTTAGTGCTGGGAAACCACCTCTAGGAGTGGACTGTTAGCCACACTAGCATGCAAATATCTGTTCGAGGACATTTATGAAAGTAACATTGTTGATCGATCAAAACTGATTGGGTACATTTTTTTTATTAATGTTTTGGGCTATTTGTCTTTATTTGCTAGCACAGCGGATAGAGTAAGAAACTGGGGGGAGAGAGAGAGAGAGAGATGCCATGAGGGAATGGAGCTACAGGTCTGACTGATGAGCCTTTTGCACCCCTGTAAAGATGTTTTTAAAATGATTTAAAAACCTATAAACTGTCAAACAATAGTAGCAAAACAATAACCTCCTTGGAGAAGATATAAAAGGCTGCTACTAAAGTGTAGAAATCACTTGAAATACCAACAACGCAGCTTTTTATTTGTGTCTGGCTGACACAGTACCACACTGGCTGCAGACTCTGACTCATATCTTCGTCACAGAGCTCGAGGTGTTTTCAGTGACTGTGACAGGAGCTTTTTTCAGGTGCCATAACTTATTCCCAAGAGGAGGATTGTGATTTGCTGCTAAATCGCCACAGAGTGACCTTGCAAGACAAGAATAGACTTCTCCTCCATTCTGGGTGTGGCACAGACAGTGGGAGCTGACCTTGGTCTACACATTAATACAATATTCCCCGGCTGTTCACGCAGTTATGGCTGACCAATCTCAAAATTTGCTAAAGTGTACCTGCAGAAACAGTCAATCAGAGGGAAGGAGAAAGGAGATAGAAGAAGAGAGGTGGGGCTGGCACCTCTCTGCCTAATTCTCTTTAGAGTCTCCTCCATGTTTCATTACTGAGATTGCACTGCAAAGGGCAAGCTGTCTCGAGGCTGCGTAAATGATGAAATACAAACTCATGCACACGTATACAAACACACACATATATACACACACACACTCACAAGAGGAAGAGAAAGGCCAAGTCATGAATGATTTCTGTTCATCATGACCATGACACATGACCTGCCGGAGGCTGCAGGCTGCTGGATCTGTCCAGGAGGCAAATGTGTCAGAGAAGATTCTTTATGTGCAGCGAATTGTGTCTGCTTTTTATTTCAACCCGCTTTTCCTATCCAAGGCCCACAAACAGCCTGTAAATTATTGATTCAGTCCGGAGGCAGGGTTTCAGACGGTTCTATATTCAGTTAATGCTCCAACTAGTCACTTGGCCATACAACACTGTCATGACTACATTTTTATTAAAGAATAAAAACGTCACTTTGCTGTTTTTTTCGTCTAACTTAAACCTCAATATGGAAGCTTAGTGCTTACGTTTCGGTCCTATTTTGACACAAGCTCAGATATGTAATGTTAAATCCCAGTAAAAAAGGCTCTTGAACATTTTGCTGTCAGCCTTCACTGAAATGCAAAAAAAAAAAAAGTTAGTGTGTTCTGTAGATCATTTCCCAGTCGTTTGAGCTTCATGTTAAGTAGACAGACAGTAGTGTGAGTGTCACACATTTCCTGTCACAGCCCCGACATAGCTCTCATTTTGTCTGCTGCCATGGCCGATAATTGTACCTCAAAGGAAAGCCTGAAAAAAAATATCAAGGATTACAAAAACCACCCGTTAAGTTTACCTGTGATGAATGAACATGGAGTACTCATAAATCCTTCTGTTGATCAACACTGATAAATATACACACAAATAAACCAGCCAGCTTTTGCAAAAAATTGAGTTTTTTAAGGTTGGAGCTTTGTATAGCCTGAGCCAGTCTTGCTTCTCTGTCAGTTAAAAAAAAAAACATGCACACCTAATTATCAACATTAAAAATTCACTTAACATTGAGTTACATGTTTTACTCCTTGAAAAATGACTTGATATGATTATTATTAAATTATTAGAGTATAGGATTGACTTTCTGTTCAACTAATTCATAAAGACATTATTTTTTAGCTTTTTGATAAGCGAAAGCTTCCTACCCGATATAGCATTTTAATATTTTAATCTTTAGCAAAGTGGCAGTCATAGAGTAAGAAAGGGAAAAAAAATGTAAAGTAACATTATCTGTTATGCACATGGGATTCTGGAGAGGGCTATTGTTGTGCCTTAGCAGCCCTTGTATTTTGAGGGATTGTGAACAGGCAGCTAAAAAGACAGAAAAGAGAACCGGAAATCCCATTGTGCTGCCTTATCAGCATACAGACAGCCTCATTTGCATCTCTCCAACCACCTTAGCAGAGTGAAGTTCCTTTGGAGCAGAGAGGTTACCATACAGGCCCATTAGATAGACTACAAGCCTTACAAAACTGCATTGCAAGAACATACTTTTGTGCAGAGAACATAAAGGCAACATATTTCATTATACGGCCATGCAGTATTGATATTTCCTCAAGATTTGAATTTGTGAGATTCCATTTACAAACAGAAACAAAACTCCCATTTGATGCCAGTATCGTGACGTTTCTATAATGCAGCAGCACTTATCAGAACAGGTTCAGTCTGCTTTCCATTGTTGTGACCACATGAACCTCTCTGCCCTCCTGTGTCACAACAACAGCTCTAACTTTCACTGCTGGTGTGTATAACATTCGGAGAAAGCAGATGTAGTCATCAGGGTCAGTTACAGGTCTGGCACAAATCCTACCTGCATTGTGTATGTTGACACACACCTTACTGTGAGGCTGCAGATGTATATGAGCATGCTGTTGGGTGTCATAGCTCCAAGCTGCAACTTGAGCTTTAACAACAAACAAAAAGACACAGGGAGGTGATACGAGATTACAATCAGTGGATGGACACTCTTACCATGATGAGGCCCGTGGTGATCGGGTCGTTGCAGCCATGGCACAGCTCCCCAAATTTGGCCCAGTAGTCCTTCTTACAGAAGAGCCGTCCCTCTTTCTCATAATACCAGTGAGACAATGAGGCACTGCACTCACAACACCTGACGGGAAAAGACACAGGAAGAGATCCATTAACAGGTGAGTAATGAAAAAAGGTTCTTTTTTAATGTCTCAACCTTTACTGCTTTCAATCAATAATAAACATAAGCTGCACAAATAAATATACATATGCCTGCAAAAACATGAATGTCAAAAATAATGAAAAGGAAAAATAATGTTTATGCTAATATTGTAACTTAATCAAGTTAGTAGTTTGTTGGTACCAGTTCTTAAAATTAATTATTATATTTTTCAACTAAAAGTAACAACTTCAGACACCAAATAGAAATACAATTTACACTAATGAATTTACATATCCATATATATCCATTTGCATGGCTGGAATCAGAGGATATTTAGCATTTGGTAAAACCATTAATTCTTGATGAAAATTGTGTATTGTCTTACAAATAAAGTAAAATGCTAGTTAGTACTAATAATAGTAAATCTATCACTTATGAGTGCGCAGAAAACAGTGTTTAATATCCTCAGGATGACACTGAGTCAGAGTTTAAACACAGCCAGTACCTTTAAAAAGCACACATCAATTAAAGGTGTTATTGTGTTGACTGTTATCTTGATGATGTACCACACTCTGTAGACTGTACTTAAGACACCCAATGACACCCTGCATGGCCCATAATTATAGTGTTTTATGATAATAATACCTCCTTTAATGGAGCTAACTCTCTCCACCCCAAATGAGGAGCAACTGAGACAAGATGATGTCACACCAAAACACACAACTATGACTTGGCCTTAAAAAAACAAAGTGAGGGGAAAAACAAAATAGCAAAACATTATGGTGCGATACATATTCAACACTATAATTCTTGTAGCCTACATTTATTTTTTTATTGTTCTATTTATCAATTCTGCCCCCTCTTACTCAAGTATCTCCTTTTCTCAAATAAATCTGATGGTGCTCAGAAGCTATCAGTCTGTGGAGATCTGTCTGGTGCATCCATCTGTCACCAGAGTTCAATGTCAAAGCTGCTCTTAAAGTCCAGCATAATGTCAGCCTGAGAGAAACAGATCCTGACAGAGATAAAGGGAGACAACAACAGAGTGGCAGTTGGACGGATGGAATAAGATTGCAATGATGAGCTTGTGAGGAAAAGACAAACTTGCAATTTAAAGAACTTAACACAAACTTCTGCAAATGCAGGTTTTAAATTTCATTCTAACATTTTCATCACCATGTTTGCATGTCGTGGCTAAGCAGGCCCATTCACTCAGCATGAATCCATAAATCAAATGTGTGCTAATCCCCTTGCTAATGTTAAAAGCATTTCTGTGTGAGTTAGTGCACTTGCATCTGCGTGCGTGTACGTCTTTCTTTCTAATCTGTATAAATCTCTGAGTGTCTAAGTGAGTGTCTATGCTCTTCGCCCCCGAAGCTTCTCTCCCATCAGCCGTCTGGCCTTTTCCCTGATTAGGGCAGCTTATGTTTGCTTTGAGATTTATTAAACATTGTATATGTCTTTAAAGGCTGGACACAATAATGAATACAGTAATTTAACTTACAATTACCATAACTATTACATTTCCTGATATTAGGGACAATTATTAATTCAATTTTTGTTGCATGAGTAAAGAACTGCTGTCCAGTACGTCTTGCGGAGGTAACAAAATAAATGTATGTCAGTGTGTTCATTTTCATAAACATCTAACTTAAACTGAAACAACTAACAGAAAACAAGTCTGCAAGTAATTTTCCTGATCAATCATAAATAGCTGTTCACTTTTCAAGCACAATGAAAAACATTTTCTTTCTTAAGCTCTTCATATTGGGATTATTATTTTTCATTCTTTTTCTTATTTAACAGTTAGTGTGTGGTATGTTTGACTAGTCAATATAGCCTATTTTTTATTTACTCTTATTTTTCTGACCCAAAAAATCTACGTTAATCATGAAAATAAAAATCAGGCATATCTCTCTTGCTGATTAGTTTTTAGGGCTTAAATCTGACCGGGATCTGTGCAGTTATTCACTTCCAAGTCCTTAAATATTTCTAAAGGACTCTACTCTTCAACCCCCAAAGACAAGATACACTTTTCATGCAAGGCGTTTGAGGCTGGTAACTAAATTACAAGTAGTGAAGGGCACATTTATATTTTCAGCAGAAGCAGCATCTCTCTATGACTTTGCCCAGGGGCTTGTACCTGCACATGCACACACATATAACCTTGCAGCATACACACATACAATTTATTCATTAGACAGACAGACAGACACACACACCCTTTTCCCGACATCTGCATGCAGAGCTTTGGTGCAGCTCAGCAGATTGTGGCAGCGCTGCTTCAGTATGCAGCACATTTGGGTGAGACGGGGGGGGAGGAGGGGACTTGGAAATGGGTCAAGCTTTCAGGAGACGTCCAAAGAGTCGAGCAAGAAGCTACTCAGCTGTCTTGGCTCACTGCTGCTCAATATCAGCCTTTTTCTGTACATGCATCCTGCAAACCCCTGCTGAGGCAAAGTCATACCGAGGAAGGACACACAGGTGCATGCATATACGCACACAGGGAGCAATGAGAGATAATAATGCTGTAAGGTTCAGTTCCTGCAAAGTAAAACCTCTCAGAGCAGAGCTGGGAGTGGTAGCAGAGAATTAAAGATATGAGTGAATACATTAGTGACTCCATGATGGAAAATTCAAAATTTCTGCCTTCAGGACAAACATTTATCGAAGAGTTGGAGAAGACAGGAAGCAGCACTGAGCTATAGCGCAAGACATCCATGAATTTGAAAAACAAAATGCATACATAATAATAAAAAAGGTTTTTTTCCACATGTCTGTTAATGTGTCTGTGCTCACATTTGGGAATCTTTTGTGTCTCTGCATTTGTGTGTACATCTGCACGGGCTTGTAAGAGGATTATCGGTGTGAAAGACTCAGAGAGAGTCTAAGCTTAGCAGCCTTCCTCACCTCACTGTGATGAGAAAAAGGAAGAATACAGGAAAACTATGTTTTATACTCTCTAAAGAGGCAATCAATAACAATGTTCAAGGTCACCTCAAGAATTGAGATAATGCGTGAGATTTCCTCGTTGAGGCTAATATCAGAAAAAAGAGAAAGATTAAATAACGCGGATTATCAGACATAAATGCCTGCCATTCACGAGAGAGAGAGGGGGAAAGGCAGATTTGAGGCACCGTGAAACTCAGCTGGATACCCTGAGGGTCAGGAAACATCCAATGACAGAGAAGATGAGAATGTGGGCTAGAGTGAGTTAAGTAAATCTGCACAGTCTGTCCCCCCCGTCCCGCTCAAATCCCCGACGGAAAGCCCTAAAAGTGTCTGGGAGAGTAATAAATTCCTTTTCAGGTCAAAAGGAGGTTGCTTTTTCCCCAGCCTCTCACCTTCCCCTGTCTGACTTTTCTAACATTTGACTCCAGCAGAGAGCTGTCACAGTTATTTACTCCATGTCTGCAGAGGTTATGTTTTCAGACTCAAAGAGAAAATGCTGTGTCGTTTGGGTCACTAGGAACTACAATTCGTAGGCCCCTTTAAGGGTCACATGACACTGTAAGTGTGAACAGTTTTATGGCTAACCAAACTGTTAATCTGTTGTTAATTGTTAACCAATGTTATCTAATTGGTATTAGTCAAAACAATTCTGACTCAACTATAACAGATCTGTAACTAACTGTAACTGTAACTGTTCATTCCATGGGCACCATAAAGGTGTTTCAGGGGTTGTTGTTTTTTTGGCAATTTATCAGATCTTTTTTTCAATCTATTAGACTTAACCAAAGTTTAGTGGACCAAGCACCATCCCAGTCCCTACCAATAGTGTGCCTTAAACACAGACATTTATTTTTTATTTTTTGCTATTTCTGTAATCTAAGTTTTTTATTTATTGTTCTTTAACCTCAAACTATCCAAAAGAAAACATTTGTGGAAGAGAAAATACTCACAAGGTATGTGGAAAGTTTTTTTGTTAACTTGAAGTAGACAAGAGAGCTTTGAAATATCTAAAGTAAAAAATAAAATAAAAATTAGGATTGCATTTTATTATTTTCACAACAAATGTATTTACGTGTGTATTAATACATGCTTTATAAACATTATGTCCCAGAGTAAATTCTGATATTATTCACATGAATTATTCCGACTGAAATACTCGCAGTAGACAGTTCAATGATGTAATATGTTTTACAATGACTGTGCCTCCTATTTATCGCTCTGGCAGGCTGACCCGGGTCAATACCTAACACGATTAATCTGTTCACTGTTGAGAAGAATGAGCTGCAGCTGAATGAGAAAAACATCAGGTCTGAATGAATGGAATCAGATTCCTCATGGGACTGAACTGTGAAGGGGATGGAAATGTAAATATATCGAACTAGAAATAATGACTCACAGTAGGCCACCAAACAAAAGAAATACTGTACCTAAACCATTTATAATATGCAGTAGTAACACACAAAAATATTATACTACACATAAACTGTTATTTGTGTATTCAGATTTCTAGTTTTAGGATTCAGGCAGTTAACTGAAAACTCATCTCATTTGTTTTAGATGCAGTTTTTGTTGTAGCCAATTTCAAGAAAAAAGTTAATTGATGCAATAGAATAAGCAACTTTCTTTGTCTAATACAGAATAAAGCTAATAAAATACTGTTAGGTTTAGCACTGTTGGTTAGAAAAAAAACACCTAAAAAGATGTTGCTTTACTTAAATTAATGAAATTTAATTTTTTGAATTTCTTCTGTAACAGTTGACTTCCTATTCAAATGAATAAGGTTGAGGCCCTGCTGAAACAGGGAAATGGCAGCTTTGTGGATAGACAATCAAATATTAATGTGGGCTAAATGTGGCCATTAATTCAGATGCTGAACTGACACACAGGGCGTTCTGTTTTCACAAGTCAGCTGGCTCTCAAATATGAATCTTCCACACAGCTGCTCAGCTGAAACGGAAGATGATGTCATTATTATCTGCTACTCTACAGTGTAAAACATATATAAATTATAAATCTTGAATATTCTG